TTCGTAATATGATAGCTCTTTGTACACAGTAGTTTCTCCTCACGTTTACTGTCTGAGCGATTGCTATAGTTATCAATGGCCTCATATGAATAAAAATATATAAAAGCTGTGTGTTAGTTTTATGAAAATGAAACTCAGAGTCGGCTCTCATATAGGGCATTGCTACGTGTAGGCTTTGAAAAAGGGCCCTACTTTGGGAAGTTGTGTTTTCCTTCTCAATCAAATAATGCCACATGTTTTCAATAGAAACGAATGCCGAAATAGAGTATGACAGGATACCCACATTTAAAAAAAAATGGAAGGTAGTGTCTTTTTTTATTTGAATCGGAATTTTTCGTGGTTTGATATTTTCCCCATGCTTGCCTTAATATATACCGACTATCGTATCACTCAGATACCCCATATATTTTTTTTAAATAATAGCCATATATTAGTAAAATGGTATCTGAAATGTATATGATGGCAATTAAATTATTTAATTAGGTACAGGCCTCCCAATTCTGCTATTTGTCGTTCGGGCAGGCATGTTTGGCAAATTTAAAAAAAAATAGATATAATTTGTATAAATATAATTACCATATATTACAAGCAAGCTGTACCCGTAGTTAGTTTTTTAAAAAGTATTAGAATTTTTCTCATTTTATCGTTTTAGTTATTCCCCTTCAAACATGCCCCCTCCATCAGTGCATGTAAATACAACTTTCCACCTCTTCATGCCTTACGATTTTTCCTGTCCCTAAATTTTTTTTAAACTAAGCGTGGATTCGTTTATACCAGTCACTAGGCAGTAGGATATAAAAAAAAAACAGTTGATTTCAAATTATCGACCAGCCACCCTTTGGTCGATCTTATCTGAAATCACCCATAATTGGAAGTCAATTTCCGACTGGTTGCTGTATGCTTCAATTTGAGACAGCACACTAGCGCCAGTTGAACCTCTAGCGTGCATTCAAATAACTCTGTGAGTTGTTCGAAAGACGCGTCCCGCCCTTCTCAGTCAGTGGTACGACGCTCGACGTACCTTAAAGGGAAACTTAAGCGGTTCTGTATTTGAGGAAAAACACTTAAATCGTCTTTATTTGGCCTCTAGGATCACGAATATCAAACTTATTTTTTTCAATTTTATGCACGGCGGCAACAGAAAATAATTTTTGAAGTACCGCCGAAGCCCGTATTTCTCTGGACGTGACGTCATATTAGAATTTTCCGAAATCTTCGCTGTCGCGCACCTTCAGCGCCTATCAAAGCTATGCGCCTGCACTCTTGCTGTTTTCAAAAAGGTCAGAAAGAAACGTCACGGCTGGTATCAGTGCGAGGAAATACACCTGGTAAGCTTGTAGTTGCACGCGCTCCCACACGAGCAACACGCGCTTGGTGGCCCAAAGATCCCAGTAATGGAATATCCACACGAGGGAGAAATCCGTCCCTTTCCTTTGCGGAGCGCGCATCACGTGAGACATACGTCATCCCTTTTTGACGCCTCGCGGCGCCGTTCTCCTCCGTGGCGGAGGCGCGGAGGAGAACGGTGCCGCGAGGCGTCAAAAAGGGATGACGTATGTCTCACGTGATGCGCGCTCCGCAAAGGAAAGGGACGGATTTCTCCCTCGTATGGATACCACAACATAAGGGAAAAATCCGCCCCTTTCCTCGGCGGAGCGCGCGTCACGTGAGACATACGTCATCCCTTTTTGATGCCTCGCGGCGCCGTCCTCCTTCGTGGCGGAGGCGCGGAGGCTTCGTACTGTTAGCACGAAAGCTCCGCAAGTGTGCGGCGGAGCCGAGGACGGAGTTTCCCGGGTTGTTGACGTCACGACATCCGTCCGCGGAGTTCTCCTTCGTGTGGATACCGCTTATGACGGCAGTACTGGAAGGAGGTTGTTCGTGCTTCCTCGCGTTTAGTTATATCTTGGGGCAAGACGAACGCGATATTCAGATTCACGGGATAAAAATACGTCAAAATTTACCTCAATCCTTTTCCTTTCTTTTTTTCTCAGGGAGTTTAGCTTTCCTTTAAAGTGGCCATGAACCGATTTTTATACTTTAGCTAAATGCTACTCAGAATCACTCCATAACGCTAATAACCCAAAAAGCTTGCCTTAGTTTTTTCTCTCTGAGCAATTGCAGTCGGCAAATAAATTCCAGAATTATGAGCATCGTTTCTCCCCAACTCGGAGCGAGAACAAGCGGTCACGTGGCCTGGTCCCTATCTTATGCCGCCAACGTTAATCATAGCCACGCGCTTGGGTCGGCAAAGTACAAAACGCGTGCTGAGCTCCAGGCATTGTTAGAGTTAAGCTATTGTCATCACCGCAGTGCTTGAACACGAGCCACTATACCGAGTCTCTGCCGAGGCAATGAAGGCCCGTTCACGCAGTTGCGTTCGGAGCGACCACTATGCTTACGAACGAATGCAACCGCTGCGACTTCAACGACAGCTGTACGCGACGTGTACACACACATGCAACCGCATGCAACCACACGAATCAACAGCCAATGAGAAACGAGCTTCAGCTCTTGCTCCTAGCCAATAGGAAGCAACCCAGCTACGCTTAAAACATGGCGGACGGTTTCCTGCCCGACGCGAGGTCCTCAACAGGATGGTCCTCAGACTCCTCACCGGAGCAGCCGGAGGTTTCGGCTACGGCGTACAGTCACGAAGATCTGCTGTGCGCCTACAATAGCTTTGTAAAGTCTGGTTCAGACATCTGACACGAACCCGTTATCCAGGACTGCGTCCGTTGTGACCGGAACGACCGCTCTGCGCCGCGCTTCCACTCCTGCAACCCTGCAGCCTGCAACAAGCGCAGCGCGTCGGCAGCACGGCGACCGCCTCTCCGCCGCCGTCAGCTGTTTCAGCGGTGCCTCTAAAAAGAAGGGGACGCGCTGCCACTCACTTGCGTAGCAGAAAACAGACAGACAATCTTCTATGACCACAAACCTTATTTTTTTTTATTTCTCAGGATACGCTTGCAGGCTAGTGCATTAAAAAAAAAAAAAAGATGCAGTACGCCGTCTTGCACGATCACGACTTTTAATACACGACTTTGCCAACAGTACAAATCTCGCCACACGCCTTTTCTACGATTATAAAAGGCAAGGTAATCTTAGCAGCGATAGAGCAACGTAGAAATATAATTCTGTGATCTGATAGACGTTGCGAGCGAGACGTTGCGAACGTTCAGGATTGCTAACACTAATCGCCTTTCTCGGGTGATGAAAACGCGTGAAAAGTCGCTACCTTTATACGGTACGCACCAGAAATACCTTGAACTTGAGCACACGCATGGAATGCGCCACAAAAGCAATCCGGGTGATGTTCGAGGACACAAATGCTAAGAAAGCACCACTGTAGTCGAAGTAAAGAAACACGACGGCTCGGGCGTTTCTGCTGTCTTGAGAGTGCCGCCACGAGATCGCCGCACGAGTAGGTAGATCGTTCCTTTTAGTACGTGCTGGGTTATCATAGCTAGGGTGCCTTCATGTGCACTTTGCTTGGGGTGATGACATCTGGCCATTTTGTTTCTAACGCTTATTTTTATTTTTTGTTCTGAAGCGCGTGAAAGAGCGTGTCCCTGCACGCGCTCGTGGCGCTGACTGCGCTACGGCGCCATTTTGTTTCCTGCAATTTCTTTGTATTTTTCCAGTGAGCGCGTGCTGTCGGCATCGGGTACTACAAACGATGGCATCACCCTAAACAGAAGAACATTGAGGCACTCTAATCATAGCGACACACTACAGAAATTCACAGTCAAGCCTAGCGCGTTTACGCGGAACGATGAGCTTTCACCACGCCGTCCACAGCGACGATCACCACCGACGCCATGTTTTCAGACAGAATGAGCCTGGCACGACCGGTATGCAACGCGCTCGACCAAGCTCTCCTCGACCTGTGATTGGTCTGTCGCTCCCGTCCTTCCCGAACGTAACGAAAAAGTTCAGCCCGGCTCATTTCCTTGCGTTGCGAACGAACACGAACGATACGACCGTATGGCGCTTCGTAGCTATGGTAACTCGTCGTTCCAACCGCATTCGTTCGTAAGCGTAGTGGTCGCTCCGAACGCAACTGTGTGAACGGGCCTTGGTTGTTACGAGCCGAAGTCGAGTCCCTCACGCAGTTCTCGTGTCCAGTCTATAAGCCGCGCTCGACTGTTGTCAGGCGGGTGGTTTTGACCCCACAATTACGTCATCGAGCTTTGCGAAGGCAAGACTGAAAGAAATAGACCCCTTTTATCTTGGCAATTTCACCGCGACCAAGAGGCTTTTAAATTAGTAACGGTACGTGCGAGTATTCCTGGGTCAGACGTGGACCAGTACCCCTCTGTAAAATCATGAACATTCCAACCCGATATCGTTTCAGGACCCCCTTAAATTATAGAAACACGCCGTCGAGCCAGTAATGCCCTTTCACACTACAATCTTAGTTGCTATTCTTGTGTGCGATATGTACGGCCTTCACAAAATCAAGCTGAAAGAGTATTTATTATGCAGAAACAGGCCACTTGAGTTGTGGGAAGAGAAAGACGCTGTCCCAGAAGTAAAATAAATCAGCAGCTCCGTCAGGCAGTGCTTCTCGAGGAGATACGAGCGTGACAACGCATCTTTCACTTCGACGCCTTCTTGAAATGCACTGAAATGCATGCTAGCTGAAAACGTGAACACTGGGCTGCACGGGACACGTATCGTGATGGTGGTTCCGTCGGCAAATATTTTCGCTATAGCAGACGGCCCGGAAGAGCGCAACGGCGCAGTGAGCGCGAGCGAGAATCTATCTCGACCTCAGGGTGCGCCGTGTTTGCGAAACGATGCTACAGGTGGCGCAGGTAGTACCGTGCACAGGCTGAAGCGCAGTTTCAGCTCATATTGTCCGCGATATTACGTTCCATTCTAAGGTTGCTAGTCTTAGCAGCCTATGAATGTAAGCTGGTTCTGAGCCTGCGCTGCCGACAGCTGTATGGTGTCCGGCGCAATGAGAGATGTTGATGATGAATTAACCGTTTCAGGTTGTAGACGGCGGTGAGGTGCCCCAAAAGTACTACCGGTCCTTCAGTAAGCCTTCAGGGGGCTGCATCACGGCGTTCCAGGAGGACGTCGGCCACGGGACCCTTTCCGCATTCGTAGTGGTGGACCGACAGAGCTCTCTGGACGTTCCGGTTAAGGTGGACAAGGAGGGAAGTCAGCTGACCTGGGAGTTCTTCGGTGAGGACGTCATCTTCGGCGTCTTCTACCAAGAAGAAGATGCTGGAGAACAGGTCAACGACAACGTCACGGAAGTTGTGAAGCCTTCGAGGATCAAAGGACTTGGGAAGGTTGCCGAGACGGGAATCGTCACATGTTCGAAGACTGGAACTTGTAAGTACTTTTGGTTAGTGGCACGGAGGGTTGTAAAGTACCTTGGTACAAGTAAATGTAAATCGGTAACTACGTAATTTTGTTGTACCGAGGAAGAAACCTAGGTACATTTATTTACCTGTATCTGTGCTTGTATATTATGTACTTTTACCAGTAACTGCTAACTTGTTGAAGTTCCTTTTTCAGGTACTTGTTGTTCGCTGTGGCCAAAATATAAGAAGGGCTGGGAAGTATTTACGCCCTAAGCCGGAGCTGAGGGGCACATTTATTTAGAGATAAAGAACATCCAGATTAATTCATAGTAACCCTGAGACGTAGGAAAAAAAAAAACGGGCAGAACAACTTTTTTTTTTTTTTTATTTTCCTACGTCTCAGGGTTACTATGGATATCATTCACCAGCTCGCCTGCACTTTTTACCTTTCTTCGGAGATTAATTCAGGTGGTCTTATTTGCTTGCCGTGCCCGCAGAATTACCACGTTAATTTCTAGAGCATGTGAGGGCATATGATCGTCGACTGCGCGCTGCGTTTTAGGTACTACTGAAAGGAAGTAACGAAATGCGTCCCTCACTACTCGCAACAAATAAACGTGATGCTTTACCGCCCCCACGTGACCTCAAAATAAATAAAACAAGGTTCGGATAACAACAAAAAGGCATGCACATTCCTTTGGCATTACTGTGATAGTGCAATAATGTATTACCGCCTCAATAGCGTGTTCACGACCTTCTACTCGTTTTAGAGCGCAGCTCTTAGGCGCCCGTTTCCCGCTTGAGCGGCGTCGGCGTAACCGCGCGGTGCATCATGGGAAATGTCCCGTAATGCACCGCGCGGCACCCTCGTGGCGTCACAAAAGTCTCGCGCGGTGCATTATGGGAAATTTCCCATGATGCATCGAGCGGAGAGGAGGAGGAGGTAGTGGAGAATGGGGGGAGGAGAAGGGGAGGGGGAGGGAGAGGATGGGGGAAGGGAAGAGGAGGAGTTAGGATGAGGGATGAGGAGGAGGAGAGGAGGGGAGGAGCTTGAAGGATGAGGGGAGGAGGAGAAGAGGAGGACGAGGAGGAGAAAGAGGAGGGAGGAGGGGAGGAGGAGGAGGAGGAGTAGCAGGGAGGATGAGGAAGTGAGGAGGGGGGAGGAGCGGTATACCCTCCCCTCAGTACCCTTCCCTCATTTTCCTCAAGAGCTGCGGTCTAATTCGGCATTGCAGGGTGTTGTAAATACCTTTCATATTTTTCTTTCAAGCCTGTACAAACCCTGCTTAGGTATATTCTTCGTTGATTGTCTTGATACGTAGCTCAGGTTCTTTTTAGATAAATAACTGTAACTGCATCTTAGGTACATTTCTGAGGTACCGTTTACAGCACTGGTGGCACACCAAGAACAGCACGACGCCTCGCTGAGCTTTTTTAACTCCGTAATATTGGATGTTCCGCACTGGTGATACCTCGATAGTGCGTGCACAACCCGAACTGACAAGTGAGGGAAGCAGTGATCACGATTATCACGGTTGATGTATGAAAAAGAATATTTTTTTTTATATATTCAGCGTTTTTCTTAGAGACAGATTTTGTGGCAATTTAGTCGCAGCTATTAGCCCCGCATGCTCATAAATCTAAAACGGCACAAGTTAGTGATTCACCTGTACTGCGTCTCAGTTCAGGGGATCCGTTCAGTGGATGTATTAGCTGTTACAATTCTCATTGGTAATGAAGGACATTCAAGGCGTGCTAAGTTTTTCTAATTTAACACAAATACCTCTTTACTCGAATATTTCTTTCACAACTTGTTTCATTCACCCGCATTTTTTTAACAGAAATGAAGCAAACGCGACCAATACGACCGTCTTGGTAATTTCCATTTTTCTTAAAAAAAACTAAACTATTTGAAGAAAAAACACTTAAATATTTTTTACTTGGCCTTCAGGGTTACGAATATCTAAATTATATTTCAGATTGATGCGTCAAGTAGCCACAACAGAGCTTACAAAATAGTGCCAAAGCCCCCCCCCCGCCCCCCCCCCCCCCCCCCCCCCCACCCGTCGCGATCGGTGCGAGGAGGGAATCATGTGACGTATTATAAATGCTGAGATCTGAAGATGTCCGCTCTTTCCGCAAGCCTTACTCGATCTGAAAAAGGCGCTGCACGCCTTTCTTAAGAAGCGGCAAGGCAGGCCTTGGGTAGAACGTCCCAACCAGGAGTTGGTTTTTCGGTGTTTTCCGCGACTATTGATACGTTCGGGTGAAATGCTCGGGATATTCACAGGACAAAAATGCGCTAGAATTCATCTCGATCTCGTTTTTTTTTTTTCCAAGAACATTTTCAGCTTCCCTTTAGGACCACTTTCAGCACTAACGGCAACATTGTAGAGCATTAGAAAACGGTCATCTCTGGTAGAAACGGATACGAGATTGATGCATTTGAACCAAAAATCTTTTTGTCTTAACCCCAAGGCTGCAAAACCTTGTCTTCAAAATATTTGCAGCTATAGCCCATCCAATTAATCGCCTTCTGCGAGCTACCGTGGAATGGGTTCTCGGTATGCGCAGTCTCTCTATTTGGCGTAATGAAACACCACGCATGCCTACACAATCCAGTTACTAGTCATTTGTTTACGTACGTAGATACGAATGTAATTCTGATCGAAAATTTTAGACAAATAATATACTCGTGTATTGGGCGACACAACCAACTAAAATGCATCTGTGTTCAAAAATTCCTGACAAAAAAGAAACGTATTTTAACGACAGAAACAAATACACCCGAGGAACATTAGCTGGGTAATAAGCGCTGGATTGGGGTACGGAAGCGAGAGGGATTACGTAAGCGCCCGGGTCATTGCCTACGACCGATCGAAGTAGAACTATTATGTTTGATGTTACGAGCGTGTTATATCCCTTCGTTAAAAAATGTGATATTTAGCGGTGATATTTTCTCGTGTTTTCCCACTCTTGTCTTCGCAGATTTGCTGAGGTTCGACAACAGCTTTAGCTGGCTCACATCCAAGAAAATAAGCTACTGTGTGAGACTCACAGGCCCTTCTTGATGCCACGCAACAAGGACGACGGGGCATCTTGTGTTTTGAACATTATACCAAGTTTTCGCTGCGCCACGTGACACTGAGGACCATTGACACCAACGTCACGTGATGCTACGAGTGTGATTGACATGAATCACTGACTCGGGCGCGACGCAGGGTACTTCGACGACGTTCAACGAGACTCGTATTTTGAGAGATTCTTCATTGCCGGCGTCTATGCCGGGACCTCTTTACAAACGAAGTTTGTTTATAAGAGGACTTTTGATTACACATTTACTTAACTTGACTACTGGGCTTTTTTTTTCCGAATTTTGTCTCCCATAATGCTCGCAGCTTTAATTTCCTCATCCGCAAAATAAATATAATTATAAAAAAACAAATTACATTTTCTTTATGTCCTTAGAGCAAACAAAACAAGAAGACCTGCGATACGCTGCGACGTTTTGCTTTGATTGAGGCTTTAGTGGAATGCTGCAATAAAAGTTAACGACTTTTACATCTTGGTAAGTATAGCGCAAATGCTTACGTTTAGCAACGGCCAGTTGAGGCAATTGGCGGTTGCACTCACTGCTTCTGTAAACCCAGTGACAGCGGAAGTTTGTGCCATGAGCAGCTCACTGCTACTGTTGCCAAGTGTTCTCTGATGCAGTTGTTATTTGGACGGAAAAAAGTGGTACTCTGCGAAAGAGACAATGCACCCTTAGAAAAAACCTGTGGGGCTTTTCTATTGAAAGGTTGGTGAGAAGAGGCATCAGAGGATATAAAATGTAATTAGCTTTTCATTTGACTTTGTCTCTTTTCTGTTAACTTTCTTTTGAATGTGCCCACTTTTGAAAAGAAAATAAACAGGCTTTCTGTCGCCGGCTAGATGCTTTTTCTGTAGCTTTCCAATTGAAAAGCTACCGGGACGCGAGAGCGACACTGTGAAGTGCTTTGTCAAAATAAGGGCTTGCCAGAGTGTGTACTAGCTCGCATTTGTCGCCTTTGACTGCGCTGTCACACTCGCAAGCTTTCGGCAACACCTTCAGAACGTTCGGATTCTTCAAGATGCCACAATATTACGAATATACCACAACGATGCCTGGTTTTTATTTAAAAGAAATGAAGAGCATTTCTTAGATACTTAGATTTTGAAAATGCGATATACTTTGAGGAAAGCTATTGTCTGTTGCAACACAAGAAAAACACTAAAAGCTCTGCCTCCTGTGCACGCTTGCTACCTTCGATACTGCTTATTGGGTGCTCGCGCATGCTTCCTTTAACCAGGCTGAAAAGCTTGTACTGGGACGGGGCTTTTACTGCTGTTCATACATTGCAGCAGACTAGACATCTCTATCGTATCATTTAAAATTGGGATCTCATTTTTTTCTGTTCACCCTTTATATGCTTATGGCAGCGAACGTTACTGAAACCTTAATTGTACACTTCTCAAATTTTAACGGAGCACAAAAAGTTAGTGCAAATTCAAGCACGGGGTGGAGACATCTCATATATAGGTACTATCGAAAACAAGACTGTAAAGGCAACAATTGATTATTTTCTATATCTTTAGTTTCCAGATGTGTCGTATAATTTTATATCGAGCTTTTCGCTCCAAAAAGAAGGAAGCCTTAATTTTAAAGAGACAATTTCAAAACAAGTTTTATGAATAAACAAATAGGAAAGTTTGTATTTAGCATTGCACTGCCCTATAAAAATGAGCAGGCTATGAACAAATTGAACCAAAGCGTTCAACTTAAATGGAAATGTTGGAACACTTGTGTCTTTTGACTGAACTAATATGTAAAACATGAACAGGAGCGATAGAGAAACAGCAATTAATGCCAGTCATCTACATTCTTAGGAAAGTCCTTCAACGTAAGATTAATTTGATATTCCGTAGTAAGTGTGCTGAATTCCATAAATGGTATATGGCACAAGCTGTTTTAATAAAAACGTTAAAAAAAATTAACCACTTTAAACAGAGGCCTAATTGGTTGCTGACTAGGGAGAAACATACATAACTAGAGCAATGTGATGAATATAGATGAAATCATCGAATTTTTTAAATATTATTTGCAAAAAAATACGGCAAATAGATATCCTGATCTCCTTTCAGCAACCCCCCCCCCCTCCCCTGTCGTTTGTTGTTATGATGCCACAGCTAGTACACCATACCACGTTCCATTTGAGACCAGTGTTGCTGCTTGCGCTGTCAAAATGTTTATTCCACCAATTTACACGAATTGCAAAACATATGTGATCTTGGCGTATCTTAAAGGATCAGGAAAGCTAAGGAAGAATGAAATTTATAGTCCTTCTGTAGTTATCTTAATACTAATATCATTTACAACTGCCGGCACGTGAGTGTCAGATTAGAAAATGACCCCGCCCCCCCCCCCCCCCCCCCCCCCCCCCCGTTGTCACCTCCAGAAAATTGGTCATTCCACAGCGGTTTGGGGTCGTCACTTTGCCCAAAGGCTAGTAATTCGCCTATTGGGGGTAGTCAAAGCGTCCAAAGTGCCATTTGAATATCCAGGATAGTCATTTTTTCTTAGAGTGTGGGCGATGCCGGAAAGCCAGTACGCCGTCATGACCGCTGTCGAGCCGTCCTCTACATCTTGCACCTCGAAAAGCCAAACTCGATCAACGTGTAGCTTCATGCTCTTCGCTGCATCCACATCGTGCCTGAGAAGACAGCCCAGGGTGTCGTCGGGATCGTTCCCTCCTGCATATAAAGGAATAATTATTTCAGTCAGAGAGCAATAAAGGCTGCACTGATGAGTAGGATTTTCAGATCAGATCAGATTTATTTTTCTCAAAGGTATCCCTTGGGATACATTACATGAGGGGGGAATAAATACAGCATTCAGTGCACAAGAATAAAAGGTAAACAGCAAAACAAAACGAAAAACATTCACTAATCACACTTTACAAATAGGAATTACAAATGTCGCGAAATTTATTGGTTTGAGTTCCATGGACGATGTGAGCGGGTAAAGAATTCCAGTCGGATATAGCAAGTAAAAGGGGGGAGTTTTGAGATTTATTAGTTCTCGAGAAGAGAAACTGAATTTTTAGTGGATGATCGTGGCGTTTTAGAATGTAAGATGGATCTTGGATATAGACGCTACGAAATTCCGATAATGTGTAGTAGATGCCATGAAGGAAAGCAAGACGGGCTAGTTTGGTTGTAACGGTTAACGGTTAGAGGTTTCAACTCCAGGTTGGTTTTAATAATAGCGACACTCGAGGTTCGTGAATAGTAATGCATGATGTAGCGTGATGGCCTGGTTTTGAACAGAATCGAGCTTGTTAAGAAGGTATGCTTGATGAGGCCACCAGATGATGTTGGCGTGTTCGAGTTTGGATCGCACAAATGCTTTGTAGGCGGTTATATTGACTGTCTGAGATGAGCGCAAAAGGTTGTGTTTGATGTAACCAAGCGATTTACATGCACTTGAAAGGATGTTATTGATATGATCGTTCTAGGTGAGGTCCTCTGAAAAAATTACTCCTAAGTACTGGTATGTTCGAACTTTTTGTATGTCTTCGTGGTTAATGGAATAATTCCTTTGCGTGGAAGAAGGCTGACTGGCAAATGTTATGTCTTGTTTTGTTAGTGTTCAATCTCAGTTACCATGTGCTGCACCAAAGTGAAGCCACGTTGAGGTCTTGCTGTAGCAGTGCTGGATCATCAGGGTTGGTGATGCGCTGGTAGATAAAACAGTCATCTGCGAAAACTCTTATGGAGGATCTTAAGCTAAGAGGGAGTTCGTTTATGTATATGACAAATAAAAGCGGACCCAATACGCTGCCCTGAGGGACACCGGACTTTACTGATAATCTTGAAGACTTGCTCTCTCCGATATATGTAGCCTGTTTACGATTTTCAAGAAAAGTGGCAATCCATTGTATGATAACAGGATGATTGTTAAGTTGAGACAGCTTGTACAACAAGTGTTGGTGAGGTACAGAGTCGAGAGCTTTGGCAAAATCAATAAATATGGCATTAGTAGGTTTGGGAGGGTGAATCTTTTTGTGCAAATTAGTAACAAATTCAAAAAGTGGCGTTTCACACGAAAGACCTTTTCTGGATCCATGTTGGTTAGTACAAATTAGGTCTTGGTCAGATAAGTAGCTAATGACATGGGAATATATGACATGCTCCATAATTTTGGGTGGTACACTTGTTAATGAAATTGGCCTATAATTAGAAACATGTTTTTTATCACCAGATTTAAAAAATTGGTAGCACTTTCCCAAGTCTCCAATCCGCCGGAAGGTACATCAGCTCTACAGATTGCTTGACAATGAGATATACTAGATGACAAGATATGCTTCGTGTTACCTTCGAATGTTTGGTACATGTATCGTCTTCGCCTGGTGCAGAGTTTGGGGAGAGTCGATCAATAATAGCCCAAATGCCTTCTTGTGTAAAGGTGACAGATTCACATGATATGGTTGGGGATACACAAATTGAATCACACGGCAAAGGAAACTGATCCCTAGTGAAAACAGATACAAAATATTAATTAAAAACGGTTGCTGAATCATGATTGGAGAGGTCTTGTCCTTGCTCGTCATAAATCTTAGTCAAAGCTCACTCCTGTTTAGGACCGATGGTCTTCCAAATTTTTTGGGGGTTTGTTTTTAATAAATTTAAAAAAAGTCACTTATGTAATATCTATATTGTGCTTTTCTAATTTCACATTTGTACTTTTTGTAGCACTCATTATATTTTGACCAGTCTATAACTAGATTACTTAACTTTGCTTTAGAAAACAAATTTTTTTTATTATCAGATAGCCTTTTTAACCAGTTAGTGAACTATAGTCGCTCACCATTTGTTTTTAGCATAATGTTTAGAACAAAAGTCGACTTTATTCTCTTAAACTCTATTTTCAACATATTCCAGTTGGCCTCTAGCGATATTTTGTTAAAATTGTCTAAATACCTGGATGCAAAACTTCGAAAAGAGGCAACAAGAGCTTCCTTGTCGACTTTCGAATAATCATATATAATTTCAGTATGAAATACTTTCAGCACCCGCTCCCACCAAACCGATGATGTATCCTTTCGGAAACCAACTCCAAAAATCTCTTGGAAAGCTTCCAGGCTTCTAAGTTGACTTTGCCGTTGGTTTTCTAATTTAAAACCGACTTTGAAACATAATGGCTATCGAAGTCAGTTTGGGATAAGAAAGGTGTGCACTGACGGGGTTCACAATTTTCTGGAGGCGAGCAAGTAGATTGTCTTACATCACAGCCCTCCGCCATTAATGCACGCTGTCTGGTGTGATTAGATTTTCTGCTGAAGGCTGTGTGAGCAAGAGTGCTCATGAGCTTTAACAGTGAGAGAGCAGCTGGTGGTGTGCAAACTTCTACAGTGATGGCGCTCGCCCGCCTGTAATTGCTACCCGCTCTTGGTGGCAAGGGAAAATGACGTTATACAATCATATAGGTTTATGCGATCATGGAATGTTAACATGATCACGTGTCGCGTAAACATGAACGCACGTTCTGGAAAGTAATTATTAATTCAAATTGTGATTTATTGGGAATCAACCAGTGATGTTAATAACATGCTCTGTTTTCTCCGCTCCATTGGTGTTCTTTCTACGTTGCATTTGTGTAGCTTGAAAGTGCTCTGCTTTATGCGACTCGTTGCATACACACACCGCGACGTTCCAATTAACAGCATGGCGTGGGGTGGCGTAATGCGCGGCAAAAGCCTCTGCCAAAATATGCTAAGCTACTCCATACACAGCAATTGTGGCGGCAGAAAAGATATAAGGCAATTATCTTGCCCCCGAGAATACAGTATGCTGCAGGTTAAGGAGGAACGATGAGAGGAAGAAGCTACCCCACATTCTTTTCAGTTTCG